TTTCTCTTGGCAAACTTACTAATCACATATGAAGGTAGTGTTGTGAATGAGGCAATTCATAATGTTTGCTGCTATTATAATAATAGAATTTTAACATAAAATATAATATTCTCTTAAGACACACCAAATTTTTGTTTTGGTGATTGCCCAAATATTTTGAATTAAGTGTGTTCATCTAAATAGTGAATCAATAAGATTTTTCAATTTACAGAGTAGACACTTGTATTTACTGAAATTTTTGCTTTATTCAAATTACTCATCAAGCCTTACATGTTTTTCGTGTATTTTCTGCTTAGTAATTTATCTATAACAGATATTTCATGAAATATAAATAATGTATTGGAACAGGGCCAGGGATTTAGCTCAGTAGTGCCGCCACCTGCCTCGAAAGCACAAGGTCCTGAGTTTGATCCCTGATACCAAAAAATATAATGTATTGGAATAAACCACCATCAGGGCTCCATAAATCTATGCTTCATTATGATGTATTTTATACTTATGTAATGTAGTAGGTATCCTGATCTAAATTTGAATGTAAGAATCAGTTCATGTACAATGATTTTTATTGCTTGCTTAAATCATTTATGTAGGCATCTGTATTTATTCAGTTCGAGAAAGGAGGCTTGTATTAGTATCAAGTAAATTATTTTCAGGTGTTGTAATGGACACTGGTTGGTGCCCCTCCTCACTTCCCCTCATTAGGCTGCTCTAGACCCCCCAGGTGATGAGTGTGGGCCCTCAAAAGGCTCCTAGCTGCTGACTTCTCCCATGATTAGCTGTCAGAAGCGAGGCCTAGTTCTAAGTGTTAGCTGATCTGAGGGTGTAGAGGCTGGTCCCTTCAGGTGGTCATGAGGTTGGGTTCAGGTTGAGGAAAGAACCTACCCCAGGCCACATTTTGATATATCTCTTCCCTCTGCCTCTCTCTCTTCACTTCCCTTCTACTGAGAGCATCCCCCTATAGATCCATCTGTATTTGACTTTGTCTCAGTTGCTGCTTCTAGGGTACCTGACCTAAGACAATGGAGATACATACAGTATGATAGTTTTGAGCAAATATACACTAAAAAACAAAAATTAATGACTTGCTTACTGTATCTCTTCTACTCCCTTCCTCTTCACCCTTCCTACCTCCAGCTCAGTTTCTTAGAATAGCCTTTGGGATGCTTAATCCTTTTGAGATTGTAACATAAAGTATAGATATGTGCTTTTAAGGAAAAAACTCCAATGAGTTTTCCAAAGATTTCGTGTTTCCCAGAAGTTAAATGCTGTGGCCTCGTGAGGTTTTCTTCTTTTACCCATGTTCTCTACAGCTAGAAATTAAAAATCTATTTAAAAAATCTTTTATACTTTAATACATATTTTTCTCTCCATAATACTCTTATTTCTCTTTTTCCTTTGTAAAGGGCAAAGCTTACTCTTTGCAATGTCATTTCCCCCTGGAAATACAAAGGGGCATACCTGTTAGATGCAGTTTTATTCCTAGTGAGTGCTCCATAAGGATATATGGTGCTGTGTAGTTGACTTTCCTTTTTTTGGGGTGGTATTATTATTTCTTCTTTGTTTCCTTTTTGCTTTTTGCATTGAGACTGTTATCACACTTTTGTCAGGAAAGTAAGTGCCACATTTAAATAAGAAAGATGGTATAAGCCAAAGGAAAGCATTGGTAAAACTCTGGGTTTTTTTCCATAATTCCAGACATAACATTGTACTATTGAGTGTTGTCCAGAGAGATATACAAGGATGTAGATAGTTTGATATATGAGAGGAATTTGTTAAGAGAATTGGCCCACTAAATTATGAAGGAAATATCATCAACCAGGAAGGGCTTGATGAGGGAAGTCAGTAGAGGGCTCATTCCAAGGCCAAAGGCCTGAGAACCTGGGGCAAGGATTGCAGTGGGGTAGATACTGGTACAAGTTCTAGAGTCTCAGTTGGAGAGTCTCAGTCAGGAGAGGAAGGGTGTCCAAACTCTAGAAAGAGAGATAATGAAATCATCTTTCCTCTCCTTTTTTGGTTTATTTGGACTCTCTCTTGATTGGTTAGTGCCTGTCTACACTGAGGGTGAATCTTATTTGTTTTTGGTTGTTTTTTGGTACCTGGGATCGAACTCAGGACCTTGTGCTTGTGAGGCAGGTGGTGGCACCACTGAGCTAAATCCCCAGCTGGAGGGTGAATCTTCTTAATGAGTCCATTGATTCAAATGCTGATGTCTTTTGGAAACACTCACAGGCATACCCATAAATACTGCTTTACAAGGTATCTGTGAATCCTTTAATACAGAAGACTAACCTAACATTAACCATCGCCTAAACTTAATCATCGCAACCTCCTATGTGTATTAACTAATGTCATCTGGAAAAGCCTTTCTAAAAAAAAAGCAGTGGCCTAGTTTTTTTCCCTTTCTTTCAACTACCCTTCTTGAAATTTAATTTCAACCACAACTAATGGGCTTTCATTGTTTAGTGTTCTGTATCTATTAAGTATTTTAATTAGCTCATTAAAGAAACTGAATTATGTTTGACAGAGAATACAAATATTGAGAAGAATTTAAAACAGAGATGCTCAATCTTCTCAGGTCCCCCCACTTTTTAAAACAATTATCTCCTAACTTTCCTATTATTTCCTGTTTTTTCCAGTGAATTTCTTCTTTTTTTTTACTTGTCACATAATTGTACATATTGATGGGGTACAGTGATATTTTGACATGTGTATACAGTACACAATGATCAAATCAGGGTAATTAGCATATCTGTTACCTCAAATATTTATCCTTTCTTTGTGTTGGGAACACTCAAAATCCTTTTAGTTGTTTTGAAATATAAAATAAGTCATTAACTATAATCACCCTACTGTGCTATAGAACATAAGAATTTAATCTTCCTGGGCTGGCGATTTAGCTCAGTGGTTCCGCCACCTGCCTCGCAAGTGCAAGGACCCGAGTTCGATCCCCGGTACCAAAAAAAAAAAGAATTTAATCTTCCTGTCTACCTGCATCTTTATACACTAACCAGCCTTCTCTTTACCCCCTATCCGCTATGCTTCACAATCCCTGATAACCAGTATTCCATTATTCCTTGGAGATTAACATTTTAAGCCTCTCCATATGAGTAAGAACATGTAGTATTTGTTTATGTCTAGCTCATTTCCAGTGAAATTATTTATAGTCTAAGCAACCTACATTCATAATTTAAAAAAATCACTATGTCTTATTGTACTAGATAATACTCTGTATTTCAATATAAACAGTTGGCCCTGAATACCCAAGCAAGTACAATAAAGGAACATTCTTGAATCTTCACTTCACACCAGTATGAATGTAACAGATTGATATAGGCGTGCTCTTTTAAGGATTTGAAACAGTATTGCCTCGGGATTCTCAAATTTCAAAAATAGAGCAAAATTATTGGTAAAGCTTTTTTTTTAAAAAAGAATTTAACTATAACTCTCAGAGCATTTGGCATCTTGGAAAATTTAATATGTCTTAAAACCTTGCAAAACAAAGTATTTACTATGTTATAATGTACATGTTTTATTCTATAGTTTATATCTAATTCCATTGACTTAGAGTGGGAGCTCTGAACATTATTTCTTTTTAAAAGGTGTGTGACTATAGGCTACATGACAGTTTTTGTGTAGTGCAGGACTGATGGAGAGTGTCTTGCATACCTTGTCCCATAAATGCTGGTAGCATCACTCCAGGCACTGTGGCAACCAAAAGGTCCCCAGAATTTTGTAAAATTGCTTCTTAAGTGGTGGGAAGGCCTCCTGAGAATCACTAGCATACAGGAAAAAAAAATGAAGAAAACAATCCAATATTCACACAATTTCAAGGAAATTTCTAACTAGAGCAGCAAGAGTGGCATTACTAATTACTGCCTTTTTTTGGAGTGTCACATGGAACAACTTCTAAGTTCTTAAATATTTCTACCGAGATGAAATGAAGAGAATTTTGATATTTAAGTGTTTGAAAAAATTGAGTCAGAAGTAGTGTCTGATGAATGTAACACTTTCATAAAACTTCAAAGAAATTTAACTTTCTGAGTTCCATAGGTGATCCAAAGTCCTGATTTTTATAGACCCATTCTGAGTGGATGTGGAGTTTGCATACATTCTAGTACTTTACATTTTGTATCATGTATTGCCCAAGATTAAGGTCAGAAGGAAATCCAGAGCTGCCCTTCTTCAGCCAGGTATGTTTTAACCTCAAGCTTCCTTTCTGATGCCAGAACAACCTCTTAAGCAACTTAATTGATAGCAATGCATACATTTTTGTAGAAAACCTAACTTGTACTTTTAGTCAGAATTAGTCCTATAGGAAGATACAGGATACATAAACCTTTATTTTGGTTGATGCTATGAGAAATGTTAAATTTTTAGGTGGTAACTTTTATATAAGTGCAACTTTTATGTGATTAGATCATTAGGTAAAATAACTAGTTAATATTTTCAGTTGGGAAGGGGAAAGACAAATAAAACCATAGAATGGTTTTCCAGTTGCTGAGATCCAGTTCCATCAAATATTGTAGTATTTGATGGTGATACATTCTTGTAGCTATCAGAATATGGAAGGTGGTGGTTTATTTACTTTTTAAATTTTCACAGTACACAGCAGCTCTTTCAAAAACATTACAAGATAGCTTCAGGTGCAGCTGTTGTAAAATAAATAAATATATTGAAATTGTGAATCCTAATGACCTTATGAAAGGCAGAAATCTGCAACTATCTAATTATTGATAGTGATATGAATATAATTTTAATAGCCTGGTATGAATTTAAGATTTTTGTTTGGTAAGCATTTTACTAGTTAAAATGATCTACATTACTTTCTTTTCTATTTTTCCTCTCTCTCTCTTTCCTCCTGGCAGAATTATGCGTAAATCATTCCAAAACAATTAATGCTGCTTTAGTCACAAATTATTGATTTTTTTCCATTCGTAGTGTATGTAGAATTGCTGCTTTACTTTGATTTTAAAGTCAGCCATTTTAATTGTGTTTTCCAGGAAGATATGAATTTAAATGAAGATAAAAAGGCACCATTGCGGGAAAAGGACTTCGGTATCAAAAAAGAAATGGTGATGCAGTACATTAATACTGCTTCTAAGACAGTAAGTAAAACTGTCAAGTTGAAAAATACTACTGAAACATATTGTAGTGTGGAAAACAATGAATTTGTCTAATGAAGTGCTTAAGCTTGTACGCAGCAGCTATAATCAGAAGGCTTTTGCATGTATAATTAAAGGCTCAAGTATTACAATAAATTTGTTTAAAAATACTTCACATCTTACAAGTTTTAATTTTTTTTTTTTTTTGCCAAGTGATGTTTAATACTTCACATCTTATAAGTTTTAAAATGTTTTTGTTTTTTGGCCAGTCAAATTGCTAAGAAACACTGTGGTCTACTCTGAAAGACCTTTTTCTTGTTAGTGAATAAAGATGGTTATTGATTTTTGATATCACTTATAAATTGGGATAATATTTGTGTTATAGGAGAGGAAGACTGATTTTTCTCTACCTATACCAGAATACATAACAGCATATTTTTAATGAGTTTCCTGATGGATAAAATTATCTTGTAACAAATTATAAATGTGGGCATTGAAAGGAGCATTAAGCCCCCACGCGGCTGCCAGTTTTCCAGGGAAACATGAAATATGTGGGCGGAAGTAATGACTAAATGGCTAAGAAACCATGACCAGCACACAGAATCAATGGCATTTATTCATGGAACCACAAATGAGCTTGACTAGTCGTATACAAATTGTGAATAAATGGATTGGATGAAAAATATAAAATGGAAGCCAAAGAAAAAACTAGAAAATAATTTTGGCTGAATTTATGATAGAATTGAGGTAGAAAAAAAGTAGCTTAGCATACAGTACTAGTTTTCATTGGATACTTTAACCTAAGGCCAGGTTACAAGCATATAAGTTATTTATACTTAACTCCATCTTTCTACAAGACCAGTCAGTGACTCTAAGGTATTTCTTTTGGATGAAATTCTCAAGTGATGTTTAATTTTTAAATCTGTCTCATGTTTTGGCAGCCTAATCTTCAGGTGTAGAAAGTGCTGTGCTTTTTCCAGTTCTTTCCATTGATGGGCTCTATACCCAGCTGTCGTGATACTGGTACTAAAGGCTTTTGTCCCTTATTGATACATAGATACCACACATCAGCTTTAGGGGTATAGGCGTTAGAGCTTGCATCTTTTGGATCTGCTTTATTTATCACATTTGACCATGGGCAATTATTTTACCTCTCTGATTTTTAATTTCTAATTCATGAAATGGGAATACCTACATTATAGGCTCATTATCAGCATTCAGTTAAATTGTTTATTCCACTATTAGAACATAACATTTTAAACTGGTGGTGGCCTCCTGTGTAGAAGTGGTAGTAGTAGAAGTTGTTCATTTTTCTTTGTGATTTGTTTATTCTTACTATTGAGATCATTATATCATAGTTAAAAATATAGGGAAAACTATAGGCGAAAGTACATATTTGCTATTTGTGAGTCTGTAATTTTGAGACATTCATTTGCTTATTTAACTTGTATTTACTTAGTGTTTATATGTCAGACAGTAGAGATGAGAACTAGGGTGGTCTATCACTCTGTCCTCTGGCACAGCACGGGACACACATACACAAATGATGTGCAAAAAACAAAGCAGCGTGAGTGGAAGTGGTGAATTATTTCATATGGAGAAGTCAGGGAAGACCATTTTGCTAGGGAATTGTAAATGTAGCAAGCAGCTTTATTAAGTTACATCCATTGGAACTGGTTATATGACTTAGAATGGGTTTAGGAAATCTTGGGGTATTAGTACATTTAAATTCTTGATTTAGGATAATAAATTGACACCTGAAAGAAGAACAGACCTTATGAAGTTTCTGAACTTTGTAAGAATGGCTCTACTTTAGTTCTTATTCACTGGTTTTAAACTTTAATCCTTTAATCATTGTGGACTAAGGTTGGAATTTATTTACCAGAATTGGGTAATTAAATTATCAGGATTGAAATAGATTAGTTATCTAAAGTGTGATTACAGCATTGACTTATTTAATTAGTGTGTTGAGGATCATGGCTTTTCCTAGGAGTGTTCTGAATAATTTGGCAGATGGTTAACATTGTAGAAAGTTCAAACTGACCAGTCACTTCTTTCTGTTCTGCAAGTAGAAACACAATTTATTAACTCTAGGGTACAGATTTTGTCATGTCACTTTATTTACATTATTAAATATTGAAAAAGCTACTCTGAGAAAAACAGTCAAAATTCATGGGTTCTACAGTGGATATGCGGAGTTTGTATCACATATACTTTTATTATGATTTTAAGCCTTAGATTTTTCTTTGAGATTCTTTTTGTGGTAGTAAGTCACTTTTTAGAAAACAGTCCTCATGCCTGCAGTCAGTGATTTAAAATGCTTGAAAATATTAACCTACGAGTAGGTCTAAAGTAGATGAATTTGGTTTTTAGAACAGAAAAAAAAAAAATCTAGTTTTTTTTTGGTACTGGGGATCGAACTTTGGTCCTTGCTCTTGCACAGCAGGCGACGAAACCACTGAGCTAAATCCCCGGCCCCTAAAAACATCTAGTTTATTGCTAAGATCTTGGGAACTTTGAGTTCAGGATGTCAAATAGTAACACTGAAATTCTGCAGTTAGGAAAGGTTATAAACTTTTATTAAGCAGTTGTCATGCTAGAGGCTGACACCACTAGATCTGTGCTTTTCTTACTTCCTCAGCATGGCTGTGTGATCCAGGTTTGCTCCGTGCAGTCAGGTGGCCAGCTCTGCTGGGGGCTTCGAAGACGGATCTTCCCTTTTCCTCTGAGATCCCTGATCAGGAGAGCCAGTTCTTTTCTGCCAGTGGACTTAGTGTCAAGAGGCAGACGGACTTTTAAAGCATGGCGTCATGTACTGCTACTCTGCTCCAATAGAGTCCTGTTTTCAGGCTCTTCTTTTGCGTCAAGTGGTGCCTTTTGCGTCAAGCGGTGCATGTTCTTATTTAAGCTGCTTGGAGTTCTTTCTTTGCACTATGTGACCTGATATACCATCTATAGACCCTTTTACCTCTGTGGGATCCCATTCTAATTCGCTCTGGAAATTGCTATTTCCATTCAAAGGAGAATGGTAAAAATCCTCCCCTCACCTCTTATGCTCTCTGTGAGCATGGATGTCAGAGCTGCTCCAGGGCTCTGTGGCTCTACCTTGTCATGCAACTCACTCCAGATGTTTAACAGTGAGTTTATTGGAGAAAAGGTCTTTAGTTTTGTTTGATTAGACAGCTGGAAAGTGAGACTATTGCACAGTCATTGATAAGGACCTTGAAAGTGGATGTGACATGGTAGGCAAAATGGAAGAGGATTATAGTCTGGAACAGAACAGGCAATGATCTTTTAAGCCATTAAAAATTCTTGAGAATTTTCACTATTTTCTAAGTAGTGAACTAGAAATAGTGAACTAGAATAGGGAACTAGACATTAAAACACAAATCTGCTATATAAATGTATGTAATACTTAACCATAAGTTGTCATCATCATTTTCTTCTTCCTCTTCCTCTTCCTCCTCCTCCTCCACCCATTCCCCCCCCCTTCTTCTTCTCCCTGGCTTATCTATTTTTCTTTTTTCTTCCCTTAAAATAGTTAAAGCACTTCTTCAGATATTATTAAAAGATAATTTCTGTAGTGGAGATTCTTGTGCTTTAAGTGGGGAAACCAAGTTTAGGAGAGTTGCTGTCCTTACCTACTTTTCTTTTCTTTTTAGGGTGGGTGCATCATCCCCTATAGCTGAGATACTAGTGCTTATTTTCTTGTGTGCACTTGGATTGAATTTTGGGTGAGCTGACTCTAGGTGTATCATGCTTGCATAATGTGATCAAAAGCTCCCCTGATGGGTCACAGATGATCATGGAGTAATTTATACACAATTAAAATGTATGTTAAAAAGGATTCTTGATCAGAATAGGATTTAGATCAAGATCTTTTTTCCTCTATCATAGAAGATTAGTAAACATAAACTGTACAGTACCATTTCCATCTGTTGTAATGAAAGTTTTCCATTTGCTGTTCTGATCATAGGTTTTTCACGGTAATCTGTGGCAATATGAAGGTGGAGAAGGCCCAAGAAGCCAAAATCTTTATCTCAGAAAAGTGAAAGTAAACCCTTGAAAGGAGTGGAAGATCCTGAAAGGAGAGAGGTTCACAGGGACTTATAGAGAGTCAGGAGCAGAATCAGAATGGTCAAATTTGAGAGCTAAGGAAGGAGAGCCAGAGAGATGTCTGGTCCTTTATGCAGTGATAATGTTTCTGGGCAAGAGGGAGGGGGAGGGGGAGGGAGAGGGAGGAAGGGGGAGAGAGAGAGAGAGAGAGAGAGAGAGAGACATGCAGAGAGAGAGACAGACACATGGGGGGAGAGAGACAGAGAGAGAGAGCGAGCGACAAATTAAGGTATGTACTGTAATGTGTTTGGTATATCTTTAAGAACCCTTTGGCAGAACTGAGCATTTGTTCGTTAGTACTTTAGGATTGACTCTTTCCTCCAATTTATTTTTGTATATCATGATGATAAAACTGTCCAGACAGTTTACTTACTATGCAGGTTGCTGCTACGTGTTAGCATGTTGTCTTTTTGGCTACACCATTAGGTATGGAAAAATGCTTTAAAAATTTCAAAATGTAAACTTGTACCTATAGTTAAAAGCCTTTCTGAATATACTAGCATTGAGCCAGGAGTTGTTATATGCTCCCAACTCCTCTCCCCTGTTTGTCATTGGCCTCTGTATCTAAGTTGCAGGGACCTGATCCTTACAGGTGAGCTGCTACCACGTGTTTCAGCTTTAGTGGGACATGGTGTTATCAAGTATGGAAAACATGCTTTCTGCAGTGTGAGCCTTCTTGGTACTTCTTATGAGAAAAGAAGTATGTTTTGAGAAAATATTAATCTTCTATTCAGATTTGTGTGGACTTTTTCTAGAAGAAAAATCTAGAACGAATTTGTTTGGCCATTGATTTGTTAATACTGTAGTAGTAGTAGTGAGGGCATACCCATATCTTAAATGTCACTTTTCTTGTTTAGAGTTCAGTTTCAAATGTTAATGTTAGAAAA